ATTTCTAATGCAAAAAAATCCAAGTCATTATGATCCTTGGATTCCTTTAAATGTTTTTCAGATGTGGATATTATAGGTGGATCGGAAAATGGAACCTCTTCCTCTTTATCGTAATTATTATTCAGATTTGATTTGGATGACGATAAGCTTTTCATGACTTTGAGCACAAGAACAGGAGATTTTGATTCTTCAATGTTTAACAAAGAACCAGAAGAATTATAAAATAATCGTGATATTGAAGTGACAGGAATTCTTTTGATTTTTCCAGGAATACTAACATTAGGCTTTTCTAATTTTGATTTGATTTCTTTTTGTTTCTTTGGATCTTCAATATCAAACTCATCATGATATCTACCATCATTAAGATCTTCAATTAAAACCAATTCATAAACATATTCCAGTTTTTTCTTTTTTTTCTTTCTATTGATGTTGTTATCATCAGCACAGATTCTATAAACCGCAACATCGCATTTTGTATATTCTTCTTTCCAAGTAAAATCAGCAACAGACTTTGGCCTAACGGAAGCGGTAAACATATAATATAATTTTAATTTAAATAAAGGACCCACACGAACTTGTTTGATGGAGCCATTATTTTTGATTTTTTCTTTATTATATTTACGATTAGCTTCACTTAAAGAATTAGAGGCTTGTAATAATCTTGACGGACTAACAGAATTTGGCAAACTCCAACCAAGGTTTACACCACTTGTTGTCATTATTAAATTCAAGTATGGCACAAATTTTTCAATTTTTTTTATCAAGCTTTGCATTTCTTTGATAATAATTTTTGAATTATCTTTTGTGTATTTTTTAGAAGGTTTTGATTGTTGATTTGTTTTATTATCAGTAGTGGTGGTTGATGATGATTGTTGTTGTTGTTTATCTTTGTTAACATTAACATCATCATTGTCAGCTAATGCAGAAGAAATCTTTTGAGCAAAAGATTCAATTTCTTTTCTTAAACGTGTAGTATAATTAACAGTTTGCTCCAATGAAGTATTCCCACGCGCAGAAATAATTTCAATCAAATCAATTGCAGGTTGTACCATTTGTATACTAAGTTCTAAATTCTAAAATAATAGTAATGTCAATGACCAATAATGAATTAATTTTTTGTAAAATAAAATCAAATTCAACATATATATAAATATATATACATATAGATTACAACACCTCTTTAACACGTTCAAGTTCCTCAATATCTAAATTATTTTGAGTGGATGATGATGATGAATCACTATTTACTATATAATTTGTAACTTGTTTCTTTTATAAAAAAAACAATCGTTTAAAAAGTGTTTTATATAATGACAATATATAATTGTCAAACAACCAATTAATGGATTAACAAATAACTAAATCAACCAACCATAGCATAATTGGTACTATAAGCAAAGGCTGCTTTACCAACCTAATAATAATAATAAAAAATAATAACAATACACATATTTTTAAATATTCGTTAGGAAAATAGATTATAAATCAAAAATTAGTTACCAAGGAAGCAGTGTGTATAGCTAGTTTCGTAAAAATTTCGTCCATTTTTTGAAATTATTTTTAAAGAATTTGGGAGAAAACAATAACAATAACAAATATCATTATTTATCTTTGATGAATTTCACGTGATGATCTGACCAAAAAAAAAATAATTCTGTTTTGCAAAAAGAAAGGTCAAAATGGCAAGACCAAGACAACGTCGTAAGATAAAAAATCCTTCACTTAAACTTTCTAGGAAAACTTCAAATAAACATTTTAAAAAAATAGTTGTCCATGTAATAAATACTTTTTTTAAATTAATCCAGAATTAATTATTAATTGATTTTGAAATTATTAAAAAATTTTTTTTTATCACTTGTTTCAAGGGAGACCCTATAATAGCTTCAAATTGGAATAAAAAAGAAACTCTTCGTCAAAAGTATAGATTGACATAATAACATTAATAATAATAATAAATAATAATAATTGTTAATTGATATTTTAATTATTTAATAATAATCATTATCTGATTTAGTTATAAACGTATAGGGCTTTTAACATCACTCAATAGAGTTGCAGGTGGTATAGAGAAATTGTATCCAGATAATGTAGAAGAGGAAAAAGATCGAGGAAAAATAGAATATGATGATAATAATAATAAAGAAGAATTGAAAAAAGTTTTAGGACCTAATGTTGGAATAATAGAACGTGATGATGAAGGCAACATAGTAAATGTTATAATTGGTGAAGATGAAGATGAAAACGAAGTTTTTGATAAAAAAATTCAGCCAGAACCAGCGAAAACGGAAATTGTTAAAGGTAGAAAATTTATTTGATATTTATTTATTTTTAAAGTAACTATTATTTTATAGCATCATAATCATAATATATAATTAACACAAGAAAAACCATTTAGCTTTAGAAGAAGAAGCATCGAAAGTATTTAAACATGAAAAATATCAATCTGGAGGAGAAATAGAATTTGTAAAAAAATTGATAGAGAGATATGGCGAAGATTATGATGCGATGTTTAAAGATATAAAATTAAATGTGTATCAACATACTAAGAAGCAATTAAAAAAGAAATGTGAAAAATATTTAAAAACAAATTCCTAATAATTAAAAGACAATAAAAGAAATCTTATTATTTAATCTCTCAATTCAGCCATTTTATCATCAATGGACACTTCATGTCTAGGATCAAATTTTTATCCTGTACGTTGTTTATGAAATTCTGATAATTTTTCAGTGGCATTTATTCTTTTTTTGGGAGCGAAGGAAATAATGATTATGTATAGCTCAGGGTTGGCAATAGACTGGTTCCATCGGAACCAATGAGTTTTGGTATGGTCCGTTTCCATTAATAAAATACTGATACTAATACTAATAATAATACTAATACTAAACATGGCCAAAATGTTATACCAATGGACCCTCAACCCCGATATAGCTATTACTTACTATATAACGTTTTAATTTTTTAATGTTTTTTTTTGTCAACTTCCGCCTCTGTCTCTACCTCCCAAACAATCGCTGATCTCACACACCACAGCAACCACAAAAGTCCCTGTCCGTGTTCAAGTAAGTATTTTAAGTGAAAATCATCAACAACACCACCAAAGCGTTCAATTGCAACAACAACAACAAATATTACAACAATAACAACATATATTGAAAATATTGCAAACCTTGCCGCTTCTGCAAGTGAATGAACTCGGACGCATTTTTATACGATTTTAATTATTCTTTTCTTTTATTTGTTTTTTAATTATTTTTTAATTATTTTTACAATAAAAATTTATTTTATATATAATATATATAGTTTTACCAAATTATTTTCGTGATCGACCGCGTCTTCGCACCTTACGTAATTGTGTTCTATAGGTATCGAACCCACTACTAATTCACAATTACTAATTTCCTTATTTCGGCGCCATGTGCTTTAACCCTCGAGTTCGAATTCAACGTAAAGAGCAAATCTGATGCATAATTTTTTGGTCTACAAGTGGAGTAGCGGATCTATTTATATGTTTACGTGGTAATTTATTATACGAGTTGATCAATAGATCGTTTGGCCACGAAATAGCTTCATGAGAAATTATAGGATTATGAGCAGCAACTTTGTATGATTTTTCAGATCTTTGTTCATAATAATCGGGTCTTACAGGCTACTCGAATTGATTGGAAATGTTAGTAAAGGAAATATTTTTACCAATCATGAATACAATTATATAATAACTACTTGAGATTCAGGAATTGAATTTTGTTCGTCAGACATTTTTCAATTTATTATAATTCTTGAGTTTAGTAATTAGTTGATTATTTGGTTGATGATTTTTGATTATCTAGGAAACCAAGAAAAAAAACAAACAAACTATATACAATCTAAAGGATTTTTGGTTCATAATCATACTCAATGCTGAAATCATTAGCAGAACTTTTAACTAAAAAAACTCAACGATGTTATATTTATGCTATAACAATTATTTTTTTGTCGACTCAAATTTGCATTAATTAAGGATTCCGTTGTTATCTTTGTCTAATAGTTGTTTTATTAACAAATATTTTATTATTAACTATGACAGCTAAAAAGTTCTTCACAATGACTTTTTTTATTATAAATTCGATTTTAAACCAGTGGCAAAAATTAAGTTATCGTATACTTCTAATCTCAACTGATCATTGTCATTTATTGGAATTTGTGGTTGGTGGCAGTGAAAGGCAAGATACTAATTGATTGATTTTTGTTGAATATGAGCGTACCCATCTTTTTTCTTTGTATTAAATTTCTTTTGTGATCTTTGTTAAAAAACTTATGATCTGTATTGTTGTCTTGAGAATTCAATGTTATGCTATCATTTAAAGCTATTTAACCAAGTAGTTTTATATATCTATATATAACATTTTATGATTATTATCTAAATTAAAAGAGAGTAATTATATAAAATAAGAAACAAACTCCAAACAAACTCAAGGGAAGAAACGAATAATTCAATCGAAATAAAGGTAGCCGGGGATCTTTATATAATAAATTGCGCGTGAGGCTTATACAAACAGACTATTATTCGTTTTCTCTATATTTATATTTATTCCATTACATATAAATATTACTTTTGAATCCATTTGGATGCATTAGAATTTCAACCAACTTAGAAAGCTTTAACTAGCAACCTTGGATCCTTGCTCGATAAAGGTGAGAGATCAAATACCCAGCAAAATAAAAGCTAAAAAAATAAAAACATTGTTTTAATTTTATTTTCGAGTGTTTTGGTAAAAAAAGTCACGATAAATTTGTTTTCGTTAGTAGGCAAAGGTTAGAGTAACCAGTGAGTGACAACGATTGTAATGTTATTTGCTTGATGAAGTGTGTTGTCCAAAGGTTAGTTGTAACCAATTTATTTCAGTCGTTTGTTTTTATTTGGCCAATTGCAACCTCTCTTTGGTTTATTTACAAAATAACTTGAGCGGCTTGTTTAACAGCCTTGCATTTATTTACAATAATGATTTTATTACAAGTGAATAAAAGAAACTTTATAGAAATCTTTGAGGTTTGTAAAATAGAGCCATCTTTGTTTATTGACAGTTGTTGAGTATGCTCACAGACTCGCCAAAGCTTTCTAGGTACAAGAAAGGAGAACCAAGTCAAGTTCGTAAACTAATTAATCGACAAATACCAAGTTGTTGTGTGCTGCTTGCAATAAAGACTAGTGCCGTAATCCAAAAAAGGAAAAAGTATGGTTGCAAAAGTGGTCGCAAAAGTAATTGCAACCACTTTTTATATGCCGTAAATACAATTACTACCATCATCATAATTTACAACACTAGTCTTTAGCTTGCAACTAATCGTCAAGAATAGCTCTAAAGTTAAGACATCCTTGTAAAAAATCGGCGTTAATCGAAAGCCACCTTGTAATATTGTTAGTATTACTTTAACCTGAACATGTTCAGAAGTTCAGTTCAGCTCGGTTTGGTTCGATATGAACTCTAATCACTACCAGGACCACGGAAAATTATAACTGGGGTCATATGCTCCATGCTAAAAAATTCATCATGGGCCCATTTTAAAAGCTATGAGCATGAAATTTTGTGAGAATAGATGGTCCCATTATCATCTATAACAACTAATAACTGACCAATGTATCCTGTGTCTCTATAAGTAAATTAAGTGACACCTGAGAAACTTGGTCAACAATCGTGTTTCATATCATCAGCTAGCTTTATTCACAAATTTAATTTGGATTGATTGGATAATCCTGGATCTTAGTCCTATTCACAAATTTATATTATACAAACAAATAAATAAACACATAACAAAGTCAAAACTGCAAACTCTGGCCAAATAGCTTTACATTCATTTTTATTTAAAGGTGTTGAATTTGCATTGTTGCTATTTACAAGCTCAGTAACATCCATATTTTACTATGAAACATTAAAATTTAAAGCAGAAACAATATCTTAATCTCAGAGATTATCCTAGGATAATCTTCAAAAATTTGAGAGCAGGATTTAAGGGCGAGTTTTTTGTAATTTCTTAAAAAGGATAGGATGAAATTAAGCGACAATTTGATTGGTTCAAATATTTTTTTGAACGTGTATTTATTTACACTAAATGTCTTGGTCGATTTTAATAAGAAAATTTTTAGTGAAACCAAAAATAATATAAATTAAAAGAGATCAGATCTTTTTTTTTGGTTCACGCTATTAGCATAAATTTCAAATATTCATTCACACGATAATGTATTTATTTATTTTAAAGAAAATATCCTTTTTTTTAGTTTTATTATTAATAGCCAGAGATATTTCTTTTTTATAAAATAGCAAAGCAACATAACCATAGAATAACGGAAAACTGTTCTTGGATGATATGGAAACAGCAAAGAATGATCTGTTTTATTATTGAAAATTTATTTACAGATATTGAATATCATTTAAGGCTTGAATATTCAAATATTACAATAATTCTCTTATTTCTCGTAATAGTGCGAAAGGCTAATCGGTCTTGCTGAACCCTCCAATGATACAACAATGCATGTTAACCCCAGATGGGAGGTGACCTTGCTCTGGGGTTTATTTATTATTGCATTGTTGTCAAGTCGAGATGACTGTTAAAGTCACTTGCTTGTCCGAAGCCTCTGGAAATGATAAGCGAACCTCCCACATCTGTTGAAAAAATTCAATAGACCCGAACGTGGAGGAATGAGGATTTGCATTTTCTGTCAAAGGAAAATTTTATTAAATCTGATACCTATGGTCTATACATGCTGCTCAAGTCCAAGTTGTTTGGAACCTTGAAACTTTGGGACTTTGGAACTCGGGATTCAGCAATTTTGATTTGGGCAGCATGTATACCCTATGATCAACATCAGATTTATTATTTTACAAAATTTCATTTCTACATGGTCTTAGCATTATTATTACTTCGGTGATGCAATTATTTATTATGAATAATAATTTCAAATGCATTGCATGATTGCTATAGACAGATACGATAGTGAGAACAAAGAATACTCATTTAATGAAAAGATTAAATAGCAGTAAAAAGATAAGTCACGTTTATATTTTTTTTATTTAACCAAGGTTAGAAAAACACGTAATAATTTATAGAAAAAATCTTCCAGAGTGACTTGTAGGAAGAAAATATAATAATCAGACCCAAAGCAATTGTGAATATTCTTTGACCGCCACATCCATCTAGACTATTTTTATTACTATTATTAACTACAATAATATTGTCACCGATTAAATTCGTGAGAACGTATTTTTGGTTTATGTGGATCAGAATGAAAAGGTAATTAATGAATTAATTTTGTATAATTTTGTATAAAGAAGATAAAAGTTTGTTTAAATAAAATATTTATTATTTTGCTTGTTTTCCTTAGTCGAAACTAATTAACTTGTTACAAAGCTACTTTTACAGTAGGTCAAATTCGAGTTCTTTATATACATGTTAGTTAATTATGAGCCTAATTGGGTTCGCGTGCCCGTTTGTGTTCATGGGCGCATCGTCACTAATTTCTACTATATATAATGATAATAATGATAGATGAATATACGGAACGTAACACGGATATAAACGATAAAATGATGATACAAGTTAATAATAAATAAATAGAAAATAAAAATAGAATATGATAAAGATAAAAAAATAAAATTATGCAAGAAAAAATTAAATTGTCTCGGAATTAAGAGGTTCAGCCAAAATACGTATCTGCTTTAAAGTCTAATTCCGGTAACAATATCATTATTAATATCACCAGTTTCTCTCCCCCCTCGTCTCACTTTTGATTTGCTTCTATTGTTTCTTCCTAGGATTTGATTTTCGTTCGTAAAAGTTTTTATTAAACCTAAAACGGGATTATTTACCTTGTTGGTGAACGTAGTAAGTATAATTACTGTGATAACTCGATTAATTTCATTAAAAAAACAATTTTTTTCTTTACTTACTTGCAATGTTCTTTAAACATTAATTTCTAAGAAATTTAAGCCTTTGTTCGCTATATTAATAAAGAAAGACATTTGTCATAGAGAGAAATTAATAGTAAGTTTGTTGTGGTGGAGTTTGACTTGGAGAGTGAAATCTAGTCTTTTTCTCAGAATAATTTAATTTTTAGTTATTAATGGAACAATAATCAAAAATTGTTTTTGACATTCATATATCCGCTCATATGAACGGAGTTCTCATCGATGGATCTATAAGATCTTTGTGTCAAAAGACCCCTCTTTTTTAAATGTTGCATTTTTTGCTATGTTGTTTGATGGCATTAACATAAAGTTTTACAACATAATAGCGTATGACCTCAAATATAATTCTCCGGGGTCTCATTAATATTAATCCTAATGTTTTAACGGATTAATCGGAATAAATCGTGTATTTATTACGTAAGATCCGATTACGTCGCTTACTATTATCTTCACTGCTCCCCATAGCGAACTTTCGATAATGTGTTAAATATAGATAGATACTAATATAAAGAAAAGCTGACAAAATTCAAACATTTCAAGTATTACGAATCCAACCAAAAGACAACTGTCAAAGAATTTATTACATTGGGTAAAACTAAATTAGCAGAACTTTATAAATACGAAAGTTTTTAATGAAAATAATAGTAATATTGATGATGGTGATGGTAGTATAAGAGTATCTCTACAATAGCATTCGCTCGTAAATTCATGATGGTTGCAAATTTCATTCTCTTTGTGATTTCGTATTTTGTGTCAATGCCATTTTATTGGCTATTTTCGTTTTTCTTGGTAAATCTTGCAAGTAATTTAATTTTAATGTTATGATTTCATTATTAATTAATACTTTTTTTTCCTCCTATAAAGCAATATCTAATATACTAAAAAACAAATCAAGATTATTAAAGAGAGAAATCACAACAAATAATAATCATTTTATCTAATGGTAGTGATCGGCACAAAAAAATTGCCTTGTACGCACATGAACCCTTTTTTGATTTTTGTTACAATAATCATAATCCTTTAAAATTAAACTTCTATATATTATTATATATATCATTCTTTTTTTAAATAATGGGTTGTTGTTATAGTTGTTTTGGTAGAGGAAATGACTCATCAAAGGTTTGCAACAGTAACAATAATAATGATGATGATAATATTTTCTACCAGTTGATTGATTCTATATAATTTATGAATTGTTTTTAGACAAACGAACGATCTCATTTATTAGGAGCAAGTGGTGATGGCTCTTCATACACTGAATCATTGTACGTTACTTATAAAAATTTTTTTTTGTTATATATAATTACCAATAATCAAATAATCAATAATCAATAATCAAATAATCAAATAATCAAATAATCAAATGATAATTAATTAATCAATTAATTAAATTATTAGAAATGCAAGAATGTCATATTCACGTTATGATGCAGCTAGAGAACAAGAATCATTACTAAAAATTGTTCAGAAAACATCAGAGTAAAATTTCAATTTCATATTACTCACATAATACATACATACATATATATATATTAATATTTAATTATTATTATTATTATTGAAAGAAACCTTATTGATATATCAAATTCTCATGTTAATGAACGTCTACTACAACAACAGCAACAATTATCACAACATCAACAATTGGATACCACTGAACGTGCGAATGAATACAAGTAATAATAACAATTATTATTATTATTATTATTATCATTATTACTATTTCAATTTTTAATTATTCTTCTTTTTTATATCATTCTTATTCTTTAGAGCTTTAATAAGTACAATTAAATTGAATTCAAAAACCTTTCCAAAAATACAAGAAAAAGGTTTAACAATCTCTAAATTAAAGAAAAGACAAACATTATCACATCTAATACATCAGCAGCAGCAACAATTACAAGATCATAATGAAAATTCACCGAAGGAACAAGTAAATGATGAATCGACTAAATCACGGCAAAACTCTGAATCATCTTCATCACCAGGTTTGATATTATCAGAAGGGAAGATAACCAATGAAGATGAAGAATTGGTAATATATATATTTCTAACATACATAACACACAAAAGTACATGTATGGTTAGGAATAATTTTACTAATTCAAAAAATTTTTTTTCTAAATAATAAAAAGTTATCGAAAGCCATGGACGAGATAAATCAAGCGCTTAAACAAATTAAAGTTGAATATGTTGGTGATTTGGTAGTTCCTTTAACATGGGCTAATTCTGCACCTATTAATAGTAATAGTACACAGGGATGATGATTTAAGATAATGTGATATTAAGATTATTAAAAAATTTGCAAAGATTATATATATATATTTTTTTTAATTTTTCTGTTATTTATTATTTAAAACAATTTATTTATTAATAAAAAAGGAAAAAAGAAAGGAATTAACAAAAAATTTTTCAATTTTTTACAACTTGAAATACTTCAAAATCTTCCCATATAAAAATTCCAGAAGAATCTAAAATTCGATGTTCGTAAGAGAGGGGAGAATTTTTGACAATTTTATCTTTATAATCAATGTTAATCCATAAATCAGGACCAGCACCAAAATAAAATCCATTGTTTGGATGCCTTTTATGATTGAATCTTTTATTTTCAAATTCTGGTAAAATTCTACTAACTATAGAATTATTTTCCGGATGACAACTATCTTTGAATGAAAATATAAAACTTTTCTCTTTTGAACTATTATCGTTATCATTGTTACTATCATCACTAATAATGTTACTCTCACTATTATTACTATTATTATAATTAATGATGGAGAATCTTTTCGATGATATATCACTAATAGTATTATAGCTACTGATGGAAAATCTTTTCGATGATCTGGATTTGGTTGATGGTAAAGATGAATATGAATGCGAAGTTGATAATCGTCTTCTCATATTTTCAAAACAATTATTTAATGGATTATAACCACCTACAATACAATTCGAATTACAAAGTTTCGCCAGTATAATTATTGGGCCTTTATCATGACATTTTGAATATAAATTTTCCATAGTTAAAGTATCTCTAGTTGCTCTAAATAACAAATTAAATGAATTTAATCCCGATAATGGACGATCATCGTAGCCTAGTGTTGGATCATTTGGCGATTTTATCCAGTTTGATATAATAGTTGCATGTCTTCCAGCTATTATAGTTGATTCGATATCAGTTGAAGGGATTCTTGGCGGTAAATTAATAGAAAAAATTGGCATGTGGCCGGTAATTTGTTGCCTTAGAAAATTACTGACAATATCTTTTGGTAAGATTCGCTTAAATGGCAAAACATATTTCGCGAATTCTTGTGGACCGATTTGAAAAAATCTTATCCATTTAATGCAATTTTTCAAAGTCTCCCTTAGTTCTCTGAAATCGTCTTTCATCCATTTTGACATGTCGTAATGATGGTAATAACATTCATCATTATCGTCGTCATTATACACGTTTAACCTTGGTGTATTTGAGATACCCCAGCTTAATAGATTTAACCATATTTCAATCTCTGGCAAGTCTAAATCCTCCCTTTGAAGTATTGAAATTATGTAATCTTCTGATAGCGAGAATAATTCGTCCGAGTTAATTATTGATATTAGATTTATTTCATCCAAAGTATCTGATGAAGACGAGGACGTCGATGATGGTGATGATTCTTCCTTGTGATGATGAGGGATTTGAGGACTTGTTTCCTCTTCTAGATGTTGTTGGTAACGTAAATATAATGATAATTCAGGATCTAAATCTTTTTCACGTCTTTTAATATCATTTTCACCGTCATTAATGTTGGAATAATCGACAGATTGATTTCTGGAATTAAAAGCTGTAGGCGAATCCCACGGAGGGACATTATCTGAATTTAACGATGATGTTGATAAAGTATCAGTAGAATTTGACCAATTTGGAGGGTGATGGAAATTTATCGAAGAATCATTTGAAGGTTGTGGTTCATCGTTGTTAATATAAAGCTTTGAAAATGAACCAACAAAATTGGTATTGTTGTAAACTTTATTATAACTCGGGCCTTGTATTGTCGAGGTTGGTTTTTTTTCATCATTATTAGGATTTTTGCTTTGTTGGCTGATGTAATTTGTAATTTTTCCAATAAGATTTGACTCGTCTCCTTTCTTCTTCTTCTGTCTCTTTTTAATATTACTTGGCAGATGAGTTGATGTTAAATAATTAGGTTTATCAACATCAACTTCTTTATCGCGGTTATTATTAAAAATTTGTCTATGGTTTGATAAAACGGGGTTTATAATTGAATTTGGCATTTTTTTGAAAAAAATATTTAAAAAAAAATTGTGATCAAAGCCTCTTTCTTATTTAATCATATTTATCGTGCATGAAATTAAATTTATAGAAATTTCTATATTAAATAAAAATTAATAATTTAAAATTAATAATAGAAAATCTTTTATTTTAAAACTTGTAATTAATAGACGTCCTAGAACAAAACAAGTCTGATCAAAAAAAAATTCATTTAGTCATTTATTATTGTTACACTCTAGAGATTTAATTAATAAATTAATATCATTATTTTTCCATTGGTAAGCATAAAAAAAAATGATAAACATGCCAAGCAGCTCATTATTTGTTTAACAATAATAATAATAATAATAATAATAATAACGAATGCATTAATATTAAATCACGACACTCTTTTTTCGAGCTTTCGAATTTTATAAAATATTAATGATTAATATGGTTAATATCAAGAGGCATTTTGTCGATTAAAACCAGATTTTGATCTGCGTTTGCTAAAGGGGGGTTATTTTTCACAATCAATCGAAATGTCAAAACAACAGATTTTCCCTTCAATCGAATTCGCTTCGTATATCCATATATCAATCTAACTGTTTATTGTTTATACTTGACATTATTGCTAAACAAAGAGCCCAAAAATGTCACTATTTTTTTTACGGGGATTATAATTTTCAACACCTGATCCAACCATTTATTTATATACATCATAAGTTAAACAAAGCAAATATTTATCGAAAATCACATTCAGTTTTTTAATTATACAATGATTGTTCAGGACTTTAAAATCACTCAAAACGAACGACCAGACTTGTCATGGAAGCAATTCCAAAACGCCAATGGCGAGTGATGATGCTGTTGATTTTATTTAAAAAGTATTTTCATGTCACGTCATTCTTTTAAGTTTCTATTTATCTGTGATGTTTGAGATGACTAAAAATCGACAGACGGATTTTCCTTGAGATAGGTGAAGCAATTGTTTTATTACTGAAAATCATTACCCGAATTATTATAACAGACAAAAAAGGTTAAGAAAACAAAGTGTTTGTCTTAGCGTCATCATACGTTTTTCCTTTTTAATAATGAATAATAAAGTTTAAATTAATTAGTATTAAATAATTATTTATGTACTATTTTCTATATATAAAAATAATACAAAAAAAAATTTGAATTGTTTTTTACATTTCAAGTTAAAAATAATTTACGACATACATAATCAATGTTATTTTCTAGGGAAGATTTTCCCAATTATGACTAATATTCATTTCCTCCAACAAACTTCTATTATAATAATGATGATAATGCTGATGGGGTGATTAGTTGGAAGGACTTATCAACTACACAAACTATAAATAAATTGAATTTGGCATTACCAAAAAATCAAAATAATCCAAATATCAACTATTTAAGCCTATACTTGATGAAAATGGTTTTGCACGCATAACACTCACTTAAAGCACACATCAGAATAATAAGAACATTCGGGTTTGAGGCTTTTCTTTGGTGACCGTAATACATAATACTGAAAAGTTTACATGAATCAGTATCCAAATATAAAAAGGATGATGTCTTTAATAATAATAGTCATGTGCCACCTTACCTGTACAAAGGTTTTTTTTTATTTTTATTTTTGGGAATTGCTATGTTTGAAATCGTTCATATGATTTATAAATTACTTGATTTTATTTTATTTTGATATTGATTATATTTTATTTATAGAATTAAACTTTTTTTCGTCAAAATCTTGTGTTACCCATACTCCATCATGCATGCTTGTTCATTCAGGTTTAAACTTCATTTGGCTGAGGATATTATCATCACCGTTACACATTATGAGAATGAATGAATTTTAGGTAAAATTAAATGCAATGAATATTCACATCATACAACGATGATGATGCTAATACTAGAAAAGAAATTCAACTATTGGGAAGCTTGAATCATGAAAACTTTATTAATTTATTTTTTACCAAAACTTGAAAGGGCCAAATTCAAATTAAAGACTTTAGGGGTCCCTGACCAAATTTGGATTTTTTACATCAGTACATACAACTTGTGCTTTATTTACATATTTTTATTAAATAGTGACACCACAAAAAGGATCTACAAGCCTTCTGGTGATAAAATGATACCTACGAAATTTTTATAGAAATAGAATCTTATGTGGAGAAATATCAATCGATCTTGGTAATACTACTTGGCAAACACATTGAAAAAGCAGTAACATATGTATATATTCTACACAATTGTTGAATTTGCAGATTCACATGGATTTCATTTTTTATGTCATAGATCAACATTTCAATGATTGTATTAATAATCAATTCATAATGATAATTTGAAAATCGCGGAAATATTTTTTACAGATGCAGGTAAATTTTTAAAAAATCAGTTTATTAAAATATCATTCGAAGAAAATTTGGGCGTACCATTGATAGTATTTATGCTATTTTACTATATTACTTCAAGAATTGAAGATCTTGATAGTTCTGTGGACGAGTTAAAGTATTCATTGTAGGGAGATATTTATTTTTGTTTACTAGAGCTTTTTGACGATAAACATTTGAATTTCAAATGATGTTTGTGTAGGGGGGAATTGATATTGAAGTATCTTGAGAAATAGAGTCAATCACTCCGACTTGAGGTAAAGTAGATGTTGAAGCCTTGGAAAAAGGCAAAGAGCACTTGCACTAGTAAAAATAGATTGAGATAAAAATAAATAAATTGGGATAATCACAGGGCGTTGGTCTCCATGAGGATAAATCGGGAATTTTTCACAGCTACTATCACGCGGTGAAAATCAACGGAGAACCATGGAATAACTTACTATTACTATTACTTAAATTGAAAAATAACTAATTTATAATAATTGTTAACAGCCAATTGATATGAAATTTGGGGTTAAAAATCAGAAAATCTGTATATAAATAATGTCGACTCTTTTTATTCTAAGTCATTATCTGCGAGTCACAAAATAACATCTAAAAATGATTGGTTACAATTTTATAAAATTATTAATTATTACATAAATAAATAAGTAAACAAATGCAGCTTTATATTAGTTATTACTATATCATAATTACTATCTTACCGGATGTTTTTTTAAGAATTCATTATCATCCTAATACTATAATAATAATAATACAACGTTTATGATAAACAACGGGTAGCAACGATCATTGATATGTACAACAAAAAAAAAAAATTTTTAGAATTTATTGTTCAATGATAAGCTTTTTGGTATTAATATTGGCATATAAGTGATTTAATTATAAGATTTGTGTCTTGCTTTTACGGATATCTTGATTTAGTGTATTAGTATGAATTTTTTGGGAGATTCACTGATTGTGTATTACTATAACTTCTGATTCCTCGCTCAATTAAACATAATTATAAATATCCATGCCAATATCTATCTCTTTGAGAAGAAACCTAACCTCCTCGATACTCTTACCGTCCATATTCCCATCTTCTTTGGTTATAATAATAGCATTACCATAAACGACAGAACTCGCATAATTGTTCGATGAATGGGATAAGAGTCTCTGATTTTTACCATGACTTGGTCTTCCGCGATTTTCTTTTTCAAAATATATTCTTTGACTGTAATTTTCTCAAGAGATAAATTCATAAATATATTTTACAGGTTCTTTCTAAGATTCAGGTATAAAATTCAAATTGATATTTGTATAATTTGTATGTTGTACTCAATAAGATAGCAAGGTAAATCTTTTTTTTTTTCGAGTCTTATGCTTGCCTAAAAGAAAAATAGTGAACCTTTAGCACAACCTTTTCGGAAATGAATAATTTTCTAAAGAATCAAGTAATAAAGACGATCCAAGGAAATAATATTTATCGTTTCAACTGCTGCAAATCTCCACGTTTGAGTTTGTATGAAAAAAAAACTTTTTTCTAATATATAAATAATTCTTAACGAACAAAAAACAAATTATTTATTATTATGAACTCTAGGTTAGTTCATATTTGGTAACTTTTGTCACATCTAAGCACTTCTCCACATTTATGATATTTTGTCTCGGGCAAATCACTGTTTTGATAAAATGCTTTTGGACATCCTGGGTTTCACATTTAAGATCTTTTATCAGTAAAATATTTTTGGATATTCATACTTAAAATTCTTTATTCCAAGATGACGTCTTGTGTAATATGGGAAATAACTTTTCCGGAAAACTGCTTTACATCATGAATATTGGTATCATCATCATCATCATCATCATCAAATAAATTTTGTCATCATTATCAGACAGAGATACTGCACGCGTGTAATCTGAGTGAAGCTCTGAATACTCAAAATTTACAAAATCATGATTTTTGAATGCTACCGAAAATAATTGAGTAATTATAAAAGTAAAACAATAATAAAAATATATCTACTATATTAACATATTCGAATTTTAGAACATTTAAATCACATATGAGAATCCATCCACGTTTTAACAATATTTGTGCTTTTAATAAAACCGTTTTTAAATTCTGAAATATATTTCAGAATGTTTGCTAAGATATTTAAACAAAATCCAAAAAATCTTTATTTCTATTCGTAATTCGTTTTATTCAAATTATTTGTTTTGTTATATTCGTTTTATTCATTTTATTCGAATTATTTGTGCATTATTATTATTATTATTATTATTATTATTTATTCGTTTTCATTTTATTTTTTCTATTCAAGTTATTTGTTTATTTGTTTTATTAAAGTTATTTATTATTATTTATTTTATTTGTCATAGCGAACAAAACAAATTCAAATAGGAATTTAGGTTGGGCGGGGCTCAAGTTAAAACTTGAATTTTCAAGTTCAAGAAAATATTTTTTTTTAGGTAATGTGTATCATTCGTCACCTTAAAAAAAACTATCGAGTCTATTATTAATTCGAAAACTTGAGTTTCAACTTGATCCCAACACGGAGCTAAATTAAGTTGTACAAATTCGGTATTAGGTAGAATTATGTGTGAACATTTTTATTGTTAGATAAAAAATTATAATATATTACAGAGAACCGTAATGATATTTTGGAATTAATTCAAAGATGTAATAATAATTATAGTTAAAGAATTTTTTTTTCCTTATAATCTTTCTATGCTGATTAAATTATTCCTATAAATCAAATCGTCATCATAATGATAATAAGGCTCATTATTACTGACTGCTTATATTATTTATAGTAGAATCGATTTTTCGAGTATTATGTATTGTTGCAAATTCATAATCTACAACTCTACTTAATATTAAATTACCAAGTTGATTTTAAAAATAAAGCTTTATCTGTTTCAATAGTGTAATAAGAATTGTGATATCTTTCTTTTATATTCCAACAAACTGGATTATAACCACCTACTAATTCACTGTTTCTATAAATTTCTGATTGTCATAGTTTGTGGAAAATCATAACATTTTTTCTCAAATGTTAATCTTCCACATCCATCTTGAGAAATACCAAGAACTAGTTCAAATTTTAAATTGTTGTTTTTCATCAATCCAATTAGAAATTAATGAACTTATTTTTAAGTTCAATAATTTTCCAATTCTTGGACTTTTTTGAATTAATAACTTTGGTTTCCATTCATCATTGTGATGATAGTATTGAATTAGTTCTTCATAAACTTCCTTATCAATAATTTCTTTATAAGGTTTGATTTTTTCATTGAAATCGTGTGAAGGGATTATATTAAACCTGATTAGTGGAATAATCTCCTCCAAATTTGTTTTCAATTCAATTACACTATCTTCATTCCATTCTGAAATACTTTCTTCCAGTTTGACTAATTTTGGTTTTTTATTTACTGGTGAATACCGACCCAACTCAATGGATTTTTCTTTTTTTCCCTCCTTTTTTGCTTCTTCCAAATTTTCTATTTGTCCAATTCCCCATTGAATAGCATGATCCCAGGCACCAATTTCTTTTTCAACTTTGAAATAATCACTTTTTACCACAAACAACATTGTTGATTTTTCAATTGCCTTATAACCACCATCATCATCAGAATTGAAAAAAACCAATTCAGGGTTTCCACAAATTAATTCGTTACAATTATTTTGAAACATACTATTAAACGATAATTGATGTTGTGATGAAAATGTATAAACATAAATTAAATTTTGCTTGATCCATTCACTTCCTTCAACCATTAAATGGTTTTGTATATCCTCGATTAATTCATTAAAATTTAATTCATCACATGTTTCAAGAAGTTCAAGAATTTCATTTGGGTTCAAATTATTTAGATTTGATATTCCATTGTAAATATATCTTTAAAAAACAAAATTATAAAATTTTACAAAAAATTATTATCAATAAAATTAAAATTAGGTGAATGAACGAATAAATAAATAAATATAATTCTTACGTTAAAATGACTTTGAATACATTTGAAGAAATAATTTTTTTCTCAAATAAAATAACACCACTATCAAATTTTTTAATCCAATTATTTGATAGAACAGTTTTAAAATACAAAGATCTTGTTTTTAAAATGGCAGAACGAGCTTTAAAAACTTTCACATCTGAGCCTTCTCCAACTTTGATTTTTACATCACAAAAATCAGCTTCATTTAACAAATTTGTTAAATAATTTACAAGTTTGCTAATGTATTTTAGTGGTAAGGCATCCTTGTTGGAGCTAATAAGGTTGTTAAGTAATGAATTTACGTTTTCTAATTGTGGATTGCTTGAAAGAAGATAAAAATTTTGAATTTATGAATTTATAAATTAAACTAAAGCTTGAATTAAACGAAATAACAGTTATGATGATACTTACTCATGTTTTATATTTAGCCTTCTGTTTTGTTTTTTTTGGTTTTTATGGTTACTTACGTTTATGCGATTCATCTTTTTTTTTTAATTCAAAAAAAAAAAAAAAAAAAAAAAAAAAATTGTGATACAAAAAAAAATATAAAAATATAGACTGCTGCGGAATTTCCAATATACGCGGCAATTTTAAAAAGTCATTCCGCAAGTTTAACTTGTACATTCGCTAACTTTGTTATACATTTGCCAAGAATTTGAACTTTGTTGATAATAATAATGTTTTAGCTTATTTCTTCTTTATTATATCCAAAAAAATTTAATAATTACTTATCTTAAAATTAAAAAAATTCATATACATGTATAAAATAATGAATAATATGATTGTATTATTTTTTGAACTTGTAAAGACAGTAACATCTTAATTCAAAATTGTTTGCAAATATCTCTGTATCAAGTTAATAAACAAGTCTGCCATAAATCAAGCATTACCTAAAGATGGTTGTAACAAAGGGAATTGATGCAAAAGTTACAAGCAATAAAAATCTTAACATTAGGAAGATTGTTACACGAAAAAATAGTGTCACAAAACGTCAACACAATTTTTTTTTTAAAATTCAGTGATGACTTTTAGATTTATTAATCATACGGCTCCTAAATTCTTTCATTCTAAATATTCTTTTCGAGTGTTATCATCCCCTGTTAGAGTTGTTGCCTTTCATTCAGGTAATAAGTTATGCATTTAATTGATTCTTATAATAGATTAAAAGATTAAAATCAAGTTTCATCAAATTTCATCAATGATAATTTCTATTATTTAGGACATACCATTTATTTCAAAATTCCAAATCTGCTAAAGATGGGGCCAATAAGTTTATTTTAGACCTTAATTTACATAACTACATCATTATTATTATCCTCAATTAATATATATGTATATAGGTTATATTAAAGGATCTGTCAATGATGCAGCAATTTTACCAACAAAGAATAAAGCATCTGAATCATTTCACTGGAATTTTGAAAGACTTTTATCGATATCATTAGTTCCATTAACAATCACTTCAGTTATAAATGGAGCACATCCGATTACAGATCTTTGTCTAGGAATAATCTTACCAATTCATTGTCATATTGGATTTGATACAATTATTACAGATTATTTGCCAGCTCATAGATCACCAAAACTTAACAAAGTATCTACGTGGGGATTAAAAGGTGCTACATTGTTGGTGCTTAGTGGTTGTTACATGATTAATACAGTTGATGTGGGAATGACTGAAATCGTAAAAAGAGTTTGGCATGCTTAAAGATGATTCTCGGAGAAAGAAAAATAATAATTAAATCACATATTTATTATAATGTCATATTATCATATTTATTATTTAAAGAAGAAAAAAACAAATAAATTTTTTAGTATTTATAATAAGAATTATGATTTTTTTTCCTCCAAATGCATATACAGTGTGTTTCGAAAATAATTGCTCTCTGTGTTATTTGTGTACAAAAAAAATCCACGTTTTACACCTTAATATATGTTTCTTTTAACATATTTACAAAATAAAATTACTATTTGTTGTCACTGAAACATTCTCTAAACATGTAAACATAGTGAATGCAATATCGCATTATTAGCTGGATGGAACTAATTCAGCACAAAAATGCGCAATAAAAAAACAAAACAATAATTTTTTTATAAGGCAGCGAAGCATCACATGTGATGATTAGAAGTATATAAAAGAATGTTAGGTATCAAAATGTTTATTATTTAATAACAACAGTTAATATTAATATTAAACAAATATAAAACACAAGCTTCCAAGGTAATAATGAATTTCAACTTGTTTACAAGATCTAAAAGACTAATAAATATTGCGGGACAACTACAAATTTAATAATGTCATGTAAAAACTTCACGGACTCGCCATTCTCTGCAATTCGGATAGAAGATAGGCAGATACCTTCATTTGCTGAATCATCTTCAAGATTTTTGCCTTTCGAAGAGAAAGCATCAAAGATTAAATTTCAAGACAAATAAAATTCGTGTTTACAATATTTTTATAAATCATCATGATAATGACCTATATAAAGCAAATCCTCCGGAAACATTTAAAAAACAAGATAATGGACATGATGTTATTTGTGAGTCGGATATATGGTCCTTCAAACTTATTGTTTAAATCAAAATAAAAAAAAATTTTCCTGATAAACTTAATTTGTAGAATTTGTAGTTACAAAATTTTGAAAAATATGTGGGTTATTTCGTGTGATCAGGCAGGTTTTGATGATGGAAGAGATGTTGAATGGTCCGGCCCATATTAAGATGGACCAAACTGTCAGTTTTGAAAACGATCTAAAAACGAACCAATGGTTCAGTCCAAGACTGCAGTCTTTATTGATTCAAATATCATAATTTTTTATATTAAAAATTAATATACATATTATTTATCAATTAACCTAATCCAATTTAACTCTTCATCACCTTCCATATTTTCATCGGATGTAGATGGTTGTTCAACGACATCTAAAATAATTTGATCACTATCAACTTCTGAAAAATATGTCATCAGGAAATTTTTAGAGGCGTCAAATAGCATTGAACAACGTCCCTCTTTTTTGACATCAAAAAAAGTGGTAATAAAAGACCCTATGCAAACAAACGGCATTGAAAATTAATGTTGCATAATGCGTAATAGGCATTGCACAACGCAATCATCGATAACTTTATAAAGAATTTAATTTGCAATTTATCAAGCAACATGATAAAGGTATTAAGGTATTAAAATGACCACCATAGAACTAAATAACAATAACAATAATATCTTATTATTATGCTTCTTGCTATTACTGTACTGCAAAGGTGCAAAGCGCTGATCAACAATGTCGGTATCAAGTTTTGGGTAACTGACGATTGACATTCTTCAGTCAGAACTACGTAGGAATTACTGTTGCTGTTTATTTTTCTATAACCTTATCATCTATAATAACAATTGCATGACCTGTTTCCCCTGAAATTGGGCTACGGGATTGATTTCTTTCTTCTCTGGTCCTACCATTCTTTTATTGGAAATAGAGATAAACTTACAAGACATGCTAACTCGTATCTACAAAAACTTTATATAGTCAAAAAGCATATCATGGCACCAGCTCTTGTTAAGCAAGTTGGCCAAAATAAGGAATCCAAGTTCGCTACTTTATTAGAGGGATCTTTGTGTGATTTTCTTCTATTCATAGAAGGAAATTAAAAAAATCACGTCACTTTTTTATAATTAGCACGTGATACACAGTTTAAATTTAATGTTAATAGAATTATTATTTACGATGTTGAAGTCGTAACTATGCAATTAATACGAATAAGGAAAAAATTGATGACTATTATACGGATCAAGGTGCTTGTTTCGGGAAAGCAGATTTTCTAAATTTTTATTCGCTTTATTCACTTCATTCGAATAACACTCGATGTAATTCGAATACTCAATTCATAACGAATAAAACAAATAGTTACTATTCGAATATAATCCTATCGGAAAAGTATATTTACTAAAATATTTGATTTAAAAACTGCAAACTATTTTACATTACAATCTTTAGAAGTAGAAGTAAATTATTCCGCATTTGACATTTCCGTTACAAAAATGAAATCGATTTTTTGACCTTTAATAAAAAAAAATATTTAATGAATTTAATTTTATTCTAGTTGAATTATTAATTACATTTTCATAATAAAAGTTTTTAAATTTATATTGGTGATAACTAAATTTTGCTGGAATCTTTATAATGTTTGATTTTGTATTAAAAAAAAAAAAAATCAGAAGAGGGCTCTTTCAATCTTAAAATAAGTAGAATTCCAGTACTCCCAATCACCCCCAACATTAGTATCTCCGAATAATTTTAAAGCTCTAAATTGTATATAATAATCACCATTTGGTAATTGTTTACCATTACTAACAGTGGTTGATGGAACAAATTGTCCATTATCACTAAAACTTCCTTCTATATAATCACCTGTCCAATCTCTATATAATGGAGTATTTCTTGTTTTTGTAACAAATCTATTTTCACCACTTATAATAAAAGTATTGTCGTTGTTTGTCAATATGCCTAAAGGTTGGTTTGTTATTGAACTAAATATAATTACATAACATAGTGCACTAGGTGTTGAAAATACTGCCCTTAATACAGGATGATTTTCAAATGTCATTGAAAATGTATAGTTTGGTGTTAATGTTGCATTTTGTGGAGTTAGAATCTGAGGAAATTCTGGACTTTGAAATATTGGTAGATCTTTTGCTGGACTTGCTAAACCAGCTAGAAAAACGGTTTTTTATTTGTTTATTTAATCAAATTAAATTTTTATTTTTAAATAATAATAATAATAATAATAAAATATATTTACCATATGGAATCGTGATGTTGCCATAGCTGGTAATATTTGGTACAAATTTAATAAAACCATTATAAAACCAATAACCTGCATCTTGAATGGTTGGTGGCGTAATTTTTAGATTGATATTGAGGTTGTTTTGATTTGTAATTGTGAAAATATTAGGTTCAATTATAATATCAGCAACCACATTACTGTAAATCAAATCTTTACTATCCAATATTGTTGTGCCATTATAACCATTTAAACTGTAAGAAGGTTCATGTATCACTATAAATGACACTTCCTGATATTCACTTAAACCTTTGACAGTTAAATTCTTTTCAATATAATTCAAATCCTTATTACTAATTCCATTTAATGTATCATTCAATGTTAATTTTGATGGTGATATCAATATTTTGCCTAGTATTGTATCAAAGACATTAACTAATCCTGTGCCTTGTTGTAAAACTGGTGAGACAACAGTTCCAGATGGAAATTTGAGTGGTCTAGCATAATTCATGAATGCATTTCTCACATCTAAAGTTGGTTGTTTTATACCAGTTGCTGATAAATATAATGCGACACATCCTGCCATATATGGTGTTGCCTGTTTTATTTTAGAAATTTTACAAGTTTAGAGGTTTTAAAATTTGATTGATGACGATTAAATATTTAAAGGTTTTAATTACCATGCTTGTTCCCGAATGTAAAGCATAACTACCAAAAGGTAAAGGATATGTAGAAAACATTACTCCGCCAGGTGCAACAATTTCCTATTTCATTAAAATAAAATGATAAATATATATTTTTTAAAAAACTTTTTTTTTTTTAAAAGAAAAAAGAAAAAAATTTTACTCACTGGCTAATTAAAGAAACGTAAACATAAACATAAATATATATGTAATATTAGTAAATTTTATATATATAAATTTTATTATTAATTAAAATTTATCAATGTTTACCTTAATATCTAGAGTAGGAGTTAATCCCCAAGAACTAAAATATGAAATTACTGAACCAAAACTATTTTCTATAATATAACCTTTTTTATCAGAAAAGTCTAAAGTCAATGGTTTATTAGTCACTGCTCTGTCTAACAATAGTTGAGCTTCAGTTGATATAATATATGCAACTGGATATTTAACATCATCTTGATGTGGACTACCTATGGCAGGTCCTGTAGTTAGATTATTAATAACAAAAGCACCCACAACTTTAGCTATTTGTAGATCTGTATACTATTTTTTTTTTTAATAATCAAATTAAATATTTGAATAATTAATAAATAATAATTGATTTCTTGCTATAGAAAAAAATTTTTGATTTTGAAATTAATTACCAGTTGTGATATAACACATTGATTAATTCTTGCAGCATAAAGATTTAGAATTACTACTTTTCCTGCTAAAGTTTGAGCAGGGACATCTTTACAATTGTTTGAACTATCAAAGATTACTGTTTCTCCTTGATTAATATTAAAAGGTCTAGCACTACCTGAAATATAATCTATATTAAAGAAACAACACATGAATTAGTATAATATCATTTTCAAATCATATTATTTAAAACATAATTTTTTTACCAATTATAAATGAAGAATCTTTAATATCAGTTGCCCGGTAAACAAGAAAATTTTTAGCATCCATTGATGCAACAGAAATGGTGCCATAACCAATTGCAGGCATAGCAGAATCCCAGATACCACGAGTTCCTTCATTACCATTGGCAGCTATAACATTGATTCCTCGATTTGCAATTGAATCCGCCAAAACAGACATTGAAGTTTCTGCCCATCCTTCACCTCCCTAATAATAAGCAAATAATTTGTTAAATGACAAAATCAATAAATATTTACATTTATTTATAAGATAAACAAGTAAACTTACTATAGATAAATTTACTATGTCCATTTGATCAGTTGCAGCTGCTTCTAATGCAGCCATTATATTGTCAGCACTCCCTATACCATCACAACTCAAGGCTCTATAAACACCAAAAGTGACATTAGGAGCAACTCCCATAAATCCAGTTATTAGACTGTCATTAGCACCTATCAAACCAGCAACATGTGTACCATGACCATCACAAAGATCAAGTGGATCACTAACATTAAGGTTGGTTGGATCTAAAACAAAATTACGTCCATATGCCACTCTACATCCTGTTCCAAAGCAGCCGCCAAGTGCTGGATGCCTGTAATCAATTCCTAAACAAAATCATAATTATTAATTATTTTTTTTTTTTTAAAAAATAAAATTTTTTTTTTTTTTTTTTACCTGTATCAACAATTCCAACTTTAATCCCAGTTCCAAAACTCAAAAACTCATTTTGTACACGATCAACACCAGTGACTTTATGTATCTCATTTATATTATTATTAGGAGCAAATTGGATTGTGTCATTGGTAATGTAATCACGTTTTTCAAGTTCATCATCATCAACATAACCAGGCGTGGGTGTTAGATTAAGATTCTATGCAAATTTTTTCACATAAAAAAATCTTAACTATATACATATATGCATACATACAATACAAGATAATATATATAAATACATACTACAGGTTCAATATATGATACAACTGATATATCGGCAACCTTTTTCAAGCTATCAAGTCCACCAGGCAATGTCAACGATATGCCGTTAACATAATCAAAGAATTCATGACGAACAGTGAAATTTATATCTTTTTGATTTAATTCTTTAAAAAATTCTTTGTGTTCAGCAATTATTATATTAGAATTGTTATTATTATTATTATTATTATTATTAGGAATAGTTTTTAAACATACATAATAAGCATCTTTTAGGACAGGTAATGTTGCAGGTCCTGCTTTTATTATGCCAGAAATTGCAACATGAATGTAAATAATTTGTATAAGAAGGAAAAAGACTATCAAAAAAATGGGAAACTTCATAATTATAGTAGTATGCGAGAGTTGATATTAATACTGGAATTGTTCTAAAATTTAATGTGTTCATTATCAATAATTTAACGGTAATTCATTCATTCATTGCATTATTTCTATTTTTTTATTTATTAAAAATGGTTGTTTATATTTTGTGGGCGTGAAATAAACGTAACTTTTAGGCTGCCACGCATAAATAATGTTTTTTGAATGCAAACGTGTGTCACAATCTATCTATTATTGTATCGATGGGTTACCACAAGCACGCAAGTAAATATGTTGTGAAGCGTAGCGTTTTAGACTATTGCATGCAATCTATCTATTATTGTATCGTTGGGTTACGTTTAGACTACCACAAGCACGTAAATAAATATGTTGTGACGTGTAACGTAAATGATTTTTAAATTGTGATACAATAAAATTTCACACAGTATATTACGCGTTTGCATACTTTTTTTCTTTCAACAATAAATTATGCGTTACCAATTACTAAAAATAACTAAAAATAACACACAGAAAAATAAAATAATACTATGTATAGAAGTAACACTATAAATGAGACTTCCGAAGAACGTCAACGAAGACTTAATCGTGAACGACAACAGCGTTATCGTAAAAACAAAAGAAATACGAGACTTGACCACTCAGGAGAAAAGAGGGTACATATACAAGATGAAGTTAGTAACGCTATAGATGAAACTTCTGAAGAACGTCAACGAAGACTTAATCGTGAACAACAACAACGTTATTATCATAAAAACAAAAGAAGTATGGATTCTGAAGACTCATATCGGAAGATAACGTGACTACCCGCGCTGAACAAGAAGTAGTTATTCATCTGACTACTGTTCCGCTAAAAACATTAAAAGCACGTATTTATCCATGGTCTTCGCAAGGTTTAGACCGTCACTCTCTGGGAAGCATGAATCATAGATGTAATTGTTGTGGGGCGCTGTTGTGGATAGATGAAAGACAGGCACATCTACACGATCACCAGTTTTCACAACATGTTGTGCCAAAGGCAAGGTTTTTCTTCCTCCTATTGAGGAATTACCATATCCTCTCAACGTGCTTCTTACTAGAACAGATCCAAATGCACGTTCATTTAGGAAAATATTAGTTCGTATAATTCAGCTTTGGCTTTTACATCTATGGGTGCAAAGGTTGATCATAGCATAACAAGAACAAGTGGCATTTACAGCTTTCGTGTTCATGGTGAAATATATCATATCATAGGCACAATACTTCCTGACAATGAAGCTCGCCCTCAGTTTGCTCAAATATATGTGTATGATACTGAGCATGAATTGCAAAACAGAATGAATGTAATGCCTAATCTTGATCCAGTTATTCTTGAGGAGCTTCAGCAAATGTTACATGATGTGAACCCATATTGTGAAATGTTCAAACAAGCTGGAGACGTTGTAAGATTAAATCCACCCTTGGACTTGCGAATGGCAATCACAAATAGTAGAAAACAAGATTCTAGACGTTACAATACTCCAACAGCAGTCATTATGATTGGAGATGGACAAGAAGCTGAACCATTGGAACGAAATATTTGTTTACCCTGAAGTGTTACGATAGGATAATTTGTGGGGTACGTATGTAATTAAATATATTTTTCATTAGTTTTTGATTATTCTCTAACTTTGGTGATAATAATAAATGTGACATTTTGTAGTCATGAAATCAAATTTTAACAAAATTATGTCAATCAAAACTGTTATTTTTCCAAATCTATACATATTTATAATAAATGCAACCAAACACAATATTACATGATTCATGTCATGTGATCGTGATTTTTTATTAATATTAATTAATTGTTTCTCAATCTTATGATTGATCTTATTAATCTTTCTTAACCAATTTTATCTTACGATTTTACGTGATCCATGCGTGGTTATCTTTCTTACCTATTTTTATCTTATGTTCTTACATGATCGAGATATTTTATAATAAATTTACGATCTTACAAGATTCATGTGATTGAGATGTTTTATTAATTGAATGTTGGTTATTTCTTAACTCTTTTTATCTTATGTCCTTACATGATCCATGTGTAATTATATTTAACATTAACACAGTAATATTAAGGATCTCTAAATGAATTGGGTCGAATCGAATCATAATTCGAATCGTAATTCGAATTTAAAAAACTCGATTAATCCTTGACCTCTGTTTAAAATACATGTAATTGTGTTGTATTTTACCTGTAGAGTAACTTTTTGAGTATTCCGTGGCCAAAATCTGACAATTTCTTGCCAATATGCAAATAAAAAACATTCGTTGACCAAACCAACAAAATCATCTTTTGATTTGAAAGCTCGTAATAATAACTGCTGTATCTTCCATTTCTTTTTACACTAATTAATATGCTAATTAAACTACTGCTTATCTACTTTCCGTTCACACACCTGGTTGAATTGATCTTTGTTTCAAAAAAACTTGTTACCAAATCTTTATCATCTTTGTAAAGAGATTTCTTTTGTCCGATTCATTTGTCTAATAGTGTCTTAAAATTTTTCTATATAATAATAATCTCTTATTTTTATATATAAAAGATCTCACATGAATGAAAATATCCAACTATTCAAATTCTGACAGTTAAAATTAGCAAAAAAAAACTTCTTTCTCTAATAGAAGGAATGTATTTGCTTATTGGACGAAACCAAAGAAGTGTCAATATTTTTGTTCGTCAACAGTGGAGATTTTTGAAAATTTTTTTATTTCAGTAATTGAAGCCCCATTCTTCGGCTATTACCTGCTTACCTAATTAAAAATTTTCGGGAGAATCTATTTCGATAGACATCCAAATTTTACTTGCGCAAAAAGATAATTTTCGACACTTTGAGAACAAAAAAAAAACATTTCATGCTTGGAATGAAATATCTTCTCAATAAGCCGGTAGAGAAAGATATTTCATACCAAGAGCCTAGTTCTATCACCCCTTGCACCCTTGATTGCTACTTGCAAAGTCATATATAAAAAGGCCAATAAAATTATGAATATTATTAATTGATTAAATTCTATCAATAAAATAATTAAAAGAAGGTGAAATATAAAGTTGACAAGAACTGACAAAAAAGAATTGCATTTGAGGTGTTTTTACAACTTTAAAGTAGGGTTGTGTTGGTCCGGTCCCAAAATATCGGTCTTTATATGCGGTCTTTGCGACCAGTTAAGGATTGTTTAAGACTAACTCAATAGTGAACTACATATTGTGAAGGTAGCTTTTTGGTCAATATTGATTATTTTACACTCATCAATTAATTTATTTTACGAATTTATTAACAATTATACTTGCTTCCCGAGGGCATCATAAAAAACCAATCATCAACTAAATCTTTGTTTCGTTTGTTGTAGCTATTGCTACTGCATCCATTTCTGATGTTCTTTCTATTACTATAACTTATACATGGGATGGCCAAAAACCCAATACGTAATAATTACGAAATTGATTATGAAATTAATTTCGTAATTAATTAATTACAATAATTATTATGAAAATGAGATAGTTGACATAAAAAAATTTACATTTTTAAGTTCTCTGAACCTTGAAAAATATGTTTATTTCAGTGTTGGCAATGTTGGTTAAATAACTAGTTCAAAAAAACTTTTGAACTTTCATTCCAATAAAATTATATCACATGACAAACAATCCAAATAAAAAGGAATATCCTATATACAGTAAGGTTCTTTTTTTGAAATATACAGTACCCTACCAAAAATGGAAATTTATTCTATAAAAAAGGAAATGGCTCAAATTTTTGTAACATCCTCGTGACAGTTATTTGTATGTGACGATTAAACTTGTGAGGCTTGGGGTGGTAGGAGTTATGGAATGCTTACCAACTCCAAAAATAAATTCTTATTTGTCACGTAGGTTCTGTATATTTCATAAAAAGAACCTTTCTGTATATAGGATGACCCTTGATTAATCTTCAAGGTCATAACAATCATCATAACAATCATCATTGTAACCATCAAATGGTAAAGTACTCTTGGAATGATAATGATCAAAAAATTTTTGCAGTTCTTTGATTTTTTTTTGTTCATAGATTAATTTAGCTTTGATTTGAGACATTACCAAAACTTTTTTATACTGAAAAAAAATATTAATCAATTTGATAATCTTATTATTGTAAATAAACAGTAATAATAAAATATTAGCACAAAAAAAAATTCAAACTTAAACTTACATTCAATCTATTTCTTTTATTAAATAAAATAAATAGCAAAGAAAATATAATCACAGGAAGAGAAAAAAGAACTTGTTATAAGGTTAGAATTTAAGTCCGCATTTGTTGTTATCATGTGTGATATATTATTCTATTCATTCTATTTGTTTATATTATAATTTTTTGACAAGGTTCACCAACTCCAGTAAACATGGAATGGAATCAATGACAGAATCTTTGATCACATCACCTAATAAACCAGTAATCTCAATCATTATATAAAGACTCATATCGTCTGTGCATTTGATGCAACAATGATATATATCAAAAAATCACTTTATAAAAATACATATCAAGAAATTAGAGAAATTCAACCGAAAAATAATTTTATTCTGGTAAAATTGAATCAGATTATCATCAAAATAAAATTTTCTCGCGTCAAATAAATTCATCTAATTAATTAAATTTAAAATGGAAGAAGAGCCTTCACTCATTATAATAGGAGAAAGTAATAATACAATAATGAGAAGGGAGGAGTCTTCTGATGCTCATATTTTGAAGAAAAGAAAGGCAAAAAGAAGTCAAGTTGGATATGGAACTTAATAGAAGAAACTGAAATTGTAAAGAATGGAGAAAAATCTAAAGGAGTTATTTGTCGAGTTAATATCTCTGAATTTTCTGATATTATTGTTCATTGTAATGTTGTAGTACGTACTTTTATTTGAAAGGATTGTTTTTTGAAAAAAAATTTTGATAATTTTGATAGAATGTAAAATGATTAAGGATCTGCATAGTAAAATTTGCGGCAAATTTACTATTTAAAAAGTTTAGTGTACTATATTCATAAATTCATAAAATAAAATAATAATAAAAGAACAAAGAAATTCGAATTTTTTTTTAATATAATTATGTAATATATCTCTAATTTTGCAAATGTAAAAAGATTTTAAACATTAACAAGTGAAAAAATTTTTTTAGATGGGGCAGGTAGATTTCTTTTTTTTTTTCCGGTAAAAAAGTAACATTTTTGGGGTACGAAGTTTTATGAAAACAAAAATATGGGGATCATATTTCAATAGGATTTTTTTATTACGCGATATTAATATTAAAATCAATTCCATTTATTCACAAAAGCTTTTTTACTGAACTTTATTACTTCCAGAATTTGATTGTAATGCTGTTCTTGCACTTTCTTTTC